GGGTGGGTGTGGGTGGGTGTGAGTGGGTGTGGGTGGGGGTGGGTGGTAACAATCACGTTCAGTTGGAACAACTTCGTTTCATGAACTCAATCTGCATCTTCGTTTGATAAAGAGAAATGCGAAAAGCTGTGGGACACTTGTGTGCGTGTGTGTCAAGATGTTCGTTTCGAAAAAATAAAATAAAAAACAAAAAAGTGCTGACCATTGGAGTCCTTAGGAGTCCTGGTATGCCTTTGGAGTCCGCAAAATGGCGTCGAGACCACAAAAAAAATATACAATCCATCCACAGAGTAGATTTCCCCTCGAGAGAAAACCCACAAAATCATGATTTGATGCGTCCCACATGCTCTAAGAGCATGAATCAAGCTCAATGATGCTCAATGCAGATGTGCAATTTCACGCAGTTGCTCAGCTGTCACCGCTGTCATGTTGTTTTACTCCCCAGTGAGGTTCATGTCATGATCAGTCGGATGTAGTTCCTCTCGTTTCTGATCAAGTCATTGAGTCATGACTCACCACGAAAATCGCAACACATTGGTCTCTACGCCCAAAAACATCGCCGTTCACAGCCCTCCGAGCATCAAAGAACTGTTGGCTCTTGATGCCGTAGCCCTCGGCGAAAATGATGGGCGCGATAAAGACCAGCCTGTGCTCCGGGTGCGATCGGTGAAGATCCCCGTTTCAAAGCACAAAGCGACATCTGTGTACAGGTGTACATGTGTGAAGAATCCAAGGTCGCCTTGATTCCGCGGGCGGAACTGGCCATCATTCTTGGTTGCCCAATTGGCCATCCTTCTCGGTGCCTTTTCTCCCGCCGGCGGAATCGGCCTTTGGAAACCACCTTTATGAAACCGTTCTCGCTCGGAACGCCCTTCGCCCCATGGGCTTCCGGACATGAACTGCTTGGCCGACAAGTCCTCCAGCTTTTGGAACGTATTTCGATTCACCTGCGACCGTCCCTGGGGTCTTCGGACGACTGCGTCGCGTCGTTTTGGAATGGTTTCTCAACGAGAATGGAAATGGTTCATGACTCTTCAGATCGGCAAAAAGGGTTCAAAGTGGTCTTTTCCACGTCCCTGTTCTTTTAGTATCGTCACAAAAATGACGACAAAATGGTCACATTGAAGCTGATCAGCACGTGTCAAAAGGTTCTTGTTCCATGGATATGAGAAGCTCCAGCATGAACAAAGGAAGAAACACAATGACAAAGGACAAACAATACAAAAAAAAAAAAAACATCATGTGACAAAACATGCGAGCAAGTTGGACACGGTACATACAGTACAAGGGGTCATCATCGTCTGCAAATTGCATTCTTTTACACGGGTTAAGCAACATGTATCATGTCCCTGAAATATGTGCCTCTGAAAAGGATCTGCGCATGCGTTGCGCTAGCCGCTATGCATTGTGCCTACAACGTTTTGTAATTGAATGGTACGTCACGCCACAAAGAAGAAGGTGGAATTGTGAATGGTGGGAGCAACATGAATCGGTCGAAGGTATGGCGAGACACAATATCGAGGTTACTCGTTTTTGGGGTCAATCACAGGAGTGTGAAAACTGGAGATCCACAGGTTGGTGGAGGGTAGTCCAGCCGGGAGACCCCCGAAAGGAAGGTGGTGGACAGAGTCGACAGGACCTGGTCTTACCGGATGGTCGTGTGGTCAAAGAACTTGGGTCACGGGCCATCTGCATTGGCAAATCTGCAGGTATGACACAAATCGCCATACTGCACATACTCTGAAGAATTCCATTCGGCAAACTGTTTGAAGACTTGTTGGAAATCTGTGTCTTGCCCTGATGGTTCGTCTGTTTCTTGGCTACGTGATATATGTCTGTGCTGGTCAAGGTATGGTCTGTATGGTTTGCTCAAGTCAGCCAATCTATTCAATGTGAGTCACTCCAATGGAAGAATTGACCTGTGGAAAACCCTGTTTTTCGATATACAACCCAGTTTGGAAAATCCACGTCTTCTCTGCAGGGGGGTCCATGCTTTGTCTTAACACCTTCCATGCGGACTCGCCGCAATGGCACCCAACGACGCCTGTGGAAAGGCCGCGGCAATGGCACCCAACGCCACCCCCACACAGATGGTCGAGATCGCCTGCGGATCAGATGCCCCCAAACACGGTCAGTTTTCCGTCCACACCCGGGGGATCGGTGGTGCCCCCGGTGCCCTGCGGTGGTCTGCGGGGGTTGCTCTGGACCTGAATCCTTGGGAGTACCCATGTATGTAAGTATACATATGTAGGGACTTGGAGGGACTCAAGGGACTCGGGAGCGTCTGGCCACCCAACGCTCCGCGGTAAAATGAAAAACAGAAGAACAAATCCGCCGACCCCAAAAACTGGACGATGGCTTTCGCGTTTTCGCCTTTCGCGGGACGATGGTGCCTTTACCCGTCACATCTGCAAACACATCTGCAACACATGGGGGTTGTTCAAAATACCTTTTCCCGAAAACTATCCTTGCGCCGGACCACATTGACAATTGCATAAATTCTAAAGTCGCCGCTGACCATCAAGATGTTTTTCGCGGGAAGAGCGTTGACCCCTTTGGATTCTCAATCGGGCACGCTTGCTGATTGCTATTTCGGGTCACGAAGTGAGAAAAGGGGCTGAGGATTTGGGCGCCAAAACCTTGGGTTCTTTTTGGGTTGTATTTGGGGTGGTGTGTGGTGTGTGTTCATTCTTTAGGTTTTCTATGAGAGTTATAGTGCGTATATCAGATTTGTCCGTTTGCATGTCTTTGGGGAAAACACTAGCAAGAGCACAACGACACACCTTCGATCCTTTCGATTTCGATCAGCCGCAGCCTATACCAGTTGATCAAAAAGATTGTGCTTCCGGTCATTGGTGCCATCCCAGGGTCTCGCCCCAGGAGACCCTGCAAGTGGTACAGCACCCTGCAAAACCAATACCAGGACCCGACTCTACAGGTCACCAAGGAAGAGACCTGAGACAGGGTCCAACAACCCTCAACTAACAGCCTGGCAGTGAGGGTGCTGGTAGAGAAGGTTGAAGAGGGATGTCTATAACACAAAGCCCGTGGCAACTTGCACCAGCAGATGACACCAGCCGAGGTTAGTCCAAGTAACTCAAAGGTTAGTCAAAAAAGCCGCGTGCGCGCACAGGTCTGAGTTAGAAACCTGCGACATGCCAGAGTTAGCACGATACTGGCGTCCATGAAAAAGATGGACGCGCGCGGCAGCTCCAACAGGTTTTTAGCTCCAACTTCAATGATACCGGCTAGGCCCTATGCAAATTGTGTCTATTCTTTGTAGGTCTTTTATGGCCCTTCAATTTTTTTCATTGGACGATCTAGGGACGCGCGCCACGCAGGCACAGAGCACGAACGATGGCGCTAGAGCCCAATTGGCCGGCTGGGTCAAAACCAGGATACCTTGGGTGACCTGGAAGGTCTTTCGCTACATGGTGGACCCGGGCTCCAGGTTTTAACCCATTCCCATGTGAAATACATGCCTATACTTCATCTTTTGACCCCCCCAAAATCCAGTCGACTGGACTGACCCACCACTGACCTACCACTCACGTGTGAACACTTCAAGTCCAGGGTCAAGTCCTATGGTCGTCCAGTCACTGACCTATCCAGTCGGCCTCTGGAATTGGCCAAGACTGCTTCTGGATGATGTTGTTCACCACCAAGCAGACCGCCTGCCACGGGGTCCACCCGTGGATCGAACAGGTCCGGTCCACCCGTCCCGGAGCCCGGCGGCGAGCGGCAGGGGGCGGCAGGGGCGGCGGTCGTGCCGGCGGGTCCCTTAGTCTGAGAAATCAGTAAAACCCTCAAACCATCATGGAAGTGGAATATGGAGACCAATCAACAGATGTTTTGGTGTTTTGATGCGCTCCATCAAATCATCATGACAATGGAAAACCACCTGCTTGTTCGTAGAGGAATCTACGCTCTTCCTTTCGGGAGCATGCCATCCACTTCCATGTTCCACTGGATGGAGTGGTTTGTTAAGCCTCGCTTGCATTGGAGGTGTCTCTGAAGATTGTTCTTCGCTATTCAAGTTTGTTCCGTTCGACGCCAATCCGTACCGGTCCCATGCAGGTCATCGCAAAGCCTTGGAGTGTGATTCACAACACAAAAGCACTCCAAGTGACGTTTGACCATTTTGAAGCCCCCCAAAAAAAAGAATTGAAGCTGTGGCGAACACGAACAGATCTCGACCCTACAACCTCGGTGCCAGATGTTCCCAGCTGTCCCAGATTTGCGACGCTGAGGGAAAAGGGTAGGGTGGGCTCTTTGGCCTTAATTTAAAAGACACGTGGAAGGAGGGATCCCAAGCCCCCCATTTGAAGAAGTGTTGCTCGGTATGCGAAAGTGAATAAGACAGAGGCCAAATTGGACAGAGGTCAAGCCAGAATCTCAAGAAGCCTTCATAAGACAAGTACGCTATGCTTTGTTCCGCAAGAAGGCTTTTGATCACATTCGACATCCGGATATAAATTAGATACTTGCATTCAATTGGCAAATTAGCTGGCCGACAGACGCCAGACCCTTTCTGAGTAACATGTCCGTTTGCCGGTCGTGGTATGCCTTGTGTTCATTCGTTATGCAGTTCGGTTTCACTTCGTCCACATAGTCCACTTTTCTTTGTACATGTATGGTTGCTCACTTGGTACTTCCACCGAAAAACCCGTCACGTATGGCGTGACCGGGAATATGTGTGGCTGCGACCCTCTTCGCAAGTGCGATGCATCCATGTGTGGGGGGGGGGTTATGAATTCGATGAATCATATATAAGTGTGTCTACATCAGGTCCTGAGACCCCATGTTTGCGAGTCTGGCGAGTCTCACAACTTCCAATGAAGTGGTGGCAAAGGCCAGCTGCTTCCAAACTGGGACCGTCAGGACCGTCTGTGACCCGACTTCAAAAAACGGGCGTAGCAAACCGTCTGGGCTTCGGACCAATAAGCTCACCTCAGGTGGGAGTTGGGTACCCGAATTGGTTTGGGATGAAAAAACACACACCTTGGGTATATCCCAATACCAGTGGATGATGATGGTTAGGTTGCAGGCCGAGATCTCAAAAATAGTGATGACCTTTTATCGACTGTTTCTGGTTTACGGGGCTACACCCTATACACCCCTTAAAGCAGTCCTCCGTTCCTGAGTGGTGAGTGAAAACAGTCCTGTTCAATGAATGGGACACCGCTACGGTGTCAAACCCTCCCAATAAGGCCCCCCCCCAACAAAAGAACTCCTGGCTTGAGGACTTACTGTTTCTTTTCACGTGCACGATTTCTGTGGTCTCAAACCGCAAGCTTTCTTGAGAATTTAAAGTACTGCACTCCCTGAAATCATCGTGGAAGTGGAAAATGGCCTCTTGGATGACCATTTTCCTCTACAGACAGATGGTTTTGCAATATTACTTCAGGGAGCGTATCTCAAAAGTCTGAACGGTGGTAGTGGAAAAGCAAAGGATCCTTCCCGGGCGGCAACAGTCCCTGACACACCGGAACACAGCCAAGTTGGTCCCATCATCTGGGGTTGCTCAATCCAACCCCATTTCTGAGACAGAAGCTACCCAGAACCCGAAACAAACAGAAACATCCAGAAACAAAGAAATGTTTTCCCCAGTCCCAACCACTTGTAACGGTGCTCAATTGCCATATTGGAACGTGGAACAACCCTTTCTTTCTAGTTGGGACTGGGAAACCCAGGTACCACCCGGTGACCACCCGAATTCGCTCGCGCTCTTGCGGCTCGCCACGAGAAGCAAGACGTCCGTGGCATCCAGTTTCAAGTTGTCCAAGGGATCGGGTTCCGGCATCGTCCGGGCAGAGTTCAGGCCATCGTTCGGGCATGGCGCATGACGAACTGACCGGCTGACCCCTGAGATGCGGTTCTCCTCAAATAGATGCCATCAGCAAACCCTCCCAGAATTCGTAGGATTGAATAGTGAATACATGTGAAGACCTGTCGTTTTCGTGGTTGCTCTGCTGTTGGATGGCTCCCTCTCACCAACTGGAGCTGATGCGCCCAGTGCGGGCCTGAGTTTGGTTCCATACGTTCATTCAGTTCCCTTCCAAAAACCTGGCAAGATCCCCAGGTCTGGCAACCAATTCCAGGCAAAGCATGGCAACAAAGCCATCGATGGAGTGCGGGTTCCTATGATGCATGCCGAACACCTCCATTCATCGGCACACCTCCGGACAGCCTAAAGCTAGCTACCAGAGAAGCGAAGCAAGCGAAGCGCGGCGGCCGAACAGTCAAGAGAAATGCCTTCAAACAGCTGCTTTGTTTTTTCCCTTCCAGCAAACATGGACATGCACCTGGCTCTCTGAACTTGCAACAGTTCCAGTGTGAAGGCGTCCGACTGGGTGTTCTTGTTTTCTGGCCACGATTCAAAGGCAGGAAACTCCGGGGAAGGTGCGGTGTTGCTCCTGTCTTGCAACTGTTTGATCTCTTTCCTCAGAATCATTAACCAGTCGACTACGAGGTCGACCCTCAGCAAGAATAGAATGGACCTGAATTGTATATAGTCGGTTGTAAATAGGCCAACTAACTAGTTGGGCCATCACCCACACCCTTTTCACCTCGTCACAACATGCAAAGCCAATAGCCGATATCCTTCCGACCTCGCAACCAGCATCCTCTATCGTCCGCGTCAGCCTCCCAAAACCCATCAGTGTCATCTTCGCACTTCAAAGAGGGTGTCCCCGCAGTATCCCCGAAAGCAGAAAAAACGGAAGGTTCATTTACGCCTTTTCAACCAACAGCCGGTCCTCATCCACCGTGGAAATAGCTGCTCGGAGCGCAGAACGTCCTCTTTTTCGGCTCGAAGGTGATGTCTGGATGAATACAAGATCTTCGAGTTGGGTGGGATTAAAATCCTCGAATTCTCCTCGCAGCCCTTCAAGTTCAGGCCGAGGACACAACTACACGCCCATCTCCGTCGCCCGAGTCTCTGTCGGACATGGTATGAGGGTCCAAAAGACGAGATGTTTCCCACAGGTGGTGAAACACAAAAAAGCTTTGCAAACTGAAATTCGGTCCAAAATGTCTCGGCACTGATCTTTGGTCCAAATATGTGCATGATGCACGTGATAGCACCTTTGGGTCTGATCCTGATCCAAAATGAAGCAGGAAGATTGTCCAGCGACAGAAAGTCGCCGTCTTTTCTAGTAGGGGACTGCGTAGGGTGCGGACTCTTCATTCGGTTTGAACCCTCCTGGCCGTTTCAAACCGGTGTTCTGCTTCTTTATTCAGAAATATAGCCTAAAAACTCGGAAATACTTCAAGTGCTCCACGAGCTCGACTGGGTTGATGCTTTTGTGTTTTTGAGACATGACGACCATGGGCAGCAGGGGGGGATGTGGCTAGTGCAAACGAGCCACATCCGGCGGCTCCGGTGGACTGGCGTTTGAAGGAGCATTCTATGGTCAAGTAATGACCCCAAGTGGACAGTCTATAGGAACATCTTCCAAACCACATTCCTTTCAACACATCTGTTTGGTGGGCACGGTATTTTCCAATGTTCCATTGTCTTGCTGAATTGTGCCTCTCTTCTCAAAGATGCACTCTCAAAGTAGACTCTCACCAAACTTGTCAGTGAAGCTCTAGAATTGGGCCTCGGTTGCCATCTGTGGAATTCCTTTTGGAACTTTATGTTGTTTTCTTTCGGGCATGTCTCACAGCACCATCCAAGAAGGTGCCCTTATGTTGTTTGGGCCTCACAGCACCTTCTTGGGGAAAGCTGCCCTCACTCCACCCGGACCGCCCCGCCCAGACCTCCTCGGTCCGCCGAAAACATGTTGAACACCGCCGCGCGCGTTTCCGCCGGGAGAGCACCGACGACTCCGGCGGCGATCGAATAGTGATTAGTGGCTGAGACCACCAGTTGAGGCCCGGAAGTTGAAGTTTTGAGATCGCCAAGTTCTTTCAAACTCTCCCCTCAGAATCTTCGCTCCCGCAGCCATGATGGGGTGACCCCAGTTCCGCCGTAAGTGTGCCGTGTTCTGTAAGGTGGCAGCATTACATCAGTTGGATCAAGGAGGAAGTCTTTGAAGCATTCGTTACAAATCTGAAGAATTCTTGCATTTTTGAGAGTTACAAAAAACATCACTCATCTAATACCTCCATGATTTGACCTCAACACTCTTTCGAAACAGTTGTTACAAACTGAATGTGATTTGGCTTTCCTCTAAGTCTAAGTGCCAGCTTCTCTATCAACCTATGGGCCATGGGCAAAATTCCTGCACATTGTTGCTCTCCCCGAAACAATCATGGAAGTGGATGGCATGGCCCCTTGTATGACCTTTTTCCTCCACAAGCAGGTGGTTTTCCATTGTCATGATTATTTCATGGAGCGCATCAAAACATCTGCCATCTGTTGATTGGTCGTGGCGTGGCGGCTGGAGAAATCCGCATCCAATTGGCATCCACTTGGCCTGTACATCCTAAGCTAAGCATGCAAGTGCCTCTGCATGCTCCGTTGGGAGCCAGTCATTCCTTGAATTCACCTGTGATGCAGTGGATCCTCCAAATTTCTGGGCCGTCTTTGCACCACAAGGAGGGGTCCAGTGAATTGCAAGGGTGCTGGAAAATTGATGGACTTTTCCGAAAGAGCAGTTGTTTCCATCACCCCTGCAGGCAAAACCGGATTTGCCTTCTTTAGACATTTCGGCGGGAGCTCAAGCCAACCGGAAGGGTGGAAAAGGCGGCGTTGCATGGTCCTTGTATCCACCCCAAAGAAACACATCCTTTCCGGCTTGGTAAAGCCCCCCCAAAGAAAAGAGCGGTTCCTCACCAACAAGTGGATGTCATCTGCACCATCCTGGGCCGATGTCTGTCGAGAAAAGCAGGCAATTCTTCAACTTATCGGGCGAATCGAGCCCTCTTCACCAAAAAAGAAACCTTTCTTTCCTCCTTGCAGTGGTCTGACACTGAGGCACAACTTGGTTGGTCCCCAATGCCGGCTGCCGGTTCACAAAAAAAAGAACCGTGACCTCAACCAAAAAAAGGCCCAAAAGCGCGTCTTCAACACGACCAAACACCCCAAACAAGCAAGGCCTGGCGTTGATGAGCTGTTGGACTTCGCTGGCCAACTGCACCGGGATGGGCATCCAAACCACCTCCTGCAAGCTGCCGCTGATGCCTCGAGCGTCGCTTCCACCGTCGTGCCGCCGGGTGCGTCGTGCTGCACGGCCCAGGCCGGCTCCGGAGCTTCCCTCCGCTTGTTTGGGTTCTAGAGAACCCCACACTGTTCGGTTGTTGGGCTAGACCTCAAACTCGAGCAGCCCGACAAGCCCCACAACGGCTGACCAATCCAAATCCGGGGGCGATGTGTTGCTACGCAACTGGTGCAACGAAGCCGAAGAGTTGCTCAGTTGGTTGTACACTTTACAGGTTGTCCCTTCAGCAATAAACCCAAAAACAATTCTAGACTGAACATGAGCAAAGTTCTCTGGTCTTCTTCGGAAGAAGAATCCCAAACTTCTTTCAGCACACCGTATGATCTGGAAAAGAATTCCTTCATCCAAAGCACACTAAGGATCATCCAAGGTCTACACTCCCTGAGTCTTCATTCCATCACGTGGATTTCGATGATCGTTCTTCCGGTCAGACATCCGAGTTTGGCCAAACAGGTGCCAAACAGGTTTTCCATACCTAAAGGCCAGTTGAATGCAATTGAACCCCCTTCTTGATAGGAAAAAGAATTATTTTAAGAATTCTTTTGATCCTCCAAAATAGAGGTCACTCAGCTTCTAGGTCCTTAGGTCCCGGATCCTGGACCGGATCCGGACCGTGGACCGGATCCGCGTTGCCAAGCCACGCCGGGGCGAGGTGGGCGGCGTGGATTCGGGCGTCGCGGGCCAAAACTGCCCCCCGGGCGACTGCTGCCCCTGACCCCGAGTGCTGCCGGGCGTGGGCGGTGAAGAAAGCATGGCGATCTGCTTCGCTTTTTCAAGGCATGGCGTTTTCTTTTTTGGCGTCGTTTAGACGGGTTGTACATGTCAGGCTTCGGGTGGTGTTGGTGTTTTCAGACTGTCTCAACTCGGACAGCCAAATCGATAAAAGACATAGAAATGTGATTTGCTTTTCAGAATTCCACACCACGTGCAGAAAAAGACAAGTGCCACTTTCCGCCTGCCGCCCGTCGGAGGGTAGCAACCAGGTGCCGACCGAGGGCTGAACCTGCCAACCTGGAGCACTGATCTAAATCCAGTGAGCGAGGCAGTTAGTGCGTGGGGTGCATGCATGGGTGGGTGGGCAGTAAATGAGTGAAACGTTCAGTAAAATCGTGGGTGAAATGGGTGAAGCCACGCATTTCACGTCAACCAGTCAACCTTCTAAATAGTGACTCTATGAATAGACTGTCTTGCTTCGTCGACAGAATGGTGAGAGATGTCCCGTCTTTCTTCGCTTTTCGAGGGAAGAGAGAAGCAGTGCACCACCGGATGAACAAGTCAGACAAAAGGCCGGATGAACATGCTGTCACCACCTCAGATGTCTCTGAGATGTCGTTCAGCAAAAAACCTTCCTTTCATTTCATGATGTCGACATCTCAGAACCAGACGAACCAGATCGACTGAGACGAACCAGATGTCGTTCCACTTAAGCAAACCAGGTCGACTACTCGCCAGGTTGCTCGTGGGCGAAGCCCCTGTCGACGGGAGCGCCTCGTGGTCGGGGTCAGTTTGGGGGCGACGAGTGGGTTTGAGTGACCGGATCCAAGCTTGTGGGTTTGGGGATGTTGGGGGGGGTGGAAGATGGAAATTCATGGATTTGGGGTGAGGAGTCGCAGCAAAACTGTTTCTCTCCTGCGGATAGAGTTGCAGGAGTGGGACTTTTTGGAGCCTCCTTCCTCACATAAATGCGAAGCCTTCTGTTGGGTGACATGTTCGGATGAATCTCGAACTTGAAATGTTCGATGTTTGAGCTGTATTGATCTTTAATGATCTTGAAGCCTTCTCTGCAGGCAAAGGACATGCAGACCAAAACGCACTCCCACCAAATTGGGATCTCTCAAGAGCTGTGAGGATTTGGAGGTTAGCAATCTGCATTCCCTTTATACAAGATCCCTGGCCCCTAAAATACAAACCAAATATATAGGTTCATCACTAGATCAAGGTTGTGGCATCCTTTCTCAGTTTTAAGGGAAAGGGTTGCATGGGGGGGTTCTACCAACCAAAGTCATTATATATGTATACGCACGCTCAAAAAAGTGATAGAAGGGTGTCCTCGTGCACAGACCCGGCATAGAAATGCCTGGGCTAAACACAACCAAACAATATCTTCATGTAGTTATCCCACACTATATAGATAGAACCACCATTGAAAGAGAAGCATCAAGCCATATCAAGCCTCAAGCCTTTGGGTGTGTCCTAAAAATAGACGAATCCCCGTCCGCGTCCGTTTGCACGCTGGCCGAAAAAGTCTTCCCTATCTGCCAAAAAATGAGTCATGGCACCTCTGCCTATATGAGTCATATGAAAAGAAAAAGAACTACGCATGGCTTACGGATGTTGAAGACACCAGTGATAGCGGTGACCCTCCGATGAAGTCCGGGCAGCCTGGTCCACCTCCACTTCCACATCCTGGAGCCGCAAGGGGAGAGCTGGAAGGCTGGCGGTCCCTAGCCAGACTGGAAGTCGCCAACTTGACTCATAGAAGTAAAAATGAAGTAAATAGGACGTCTGTATTCGAACTGAGTAGGCTCAGTAGGCTCAGTTTCGAGGATTCGCATGGGTGCAGCCTTCGTGACCCACCGGTTACCGCCAAATACGGACCAAAGAGTCGGAGCGGGTCTGAGCGGCGTCTGAAAACCGACATCGTGTTGGCAGCTCTGTGATCCACACAGGACACAGATCTTTCATCATGGGCAGCGGCATGGGTGTCGCGAACAAACACTGGACCACCAGCTCGGTGCTCCAACCACCGTATGAACCCACCTCACCATCTGTTCAAAGCGACCTCGCCCGACCGGTCGCGAGGGGCCCGTGGACCCCCCGCCTTCTCGTCCATGGCCGGAGGACGGCCTTCTGACCGGCAGCGCCGGCGCCCCTGGCGATTCGTGAAAGAGGCGATCGTGACGGGTGGAAGGACAGGGAGCAAATCGGTGGGAGACCCCAATGTTTGGGGTTGATATGATTATCCAGTATGTAACACTTGAAATCATAATAAACCCTGACTTATTGCTCCAAGTTGATACAATTGACTTGAGGCCGAGGGTAGGTGACGAAAGCTAGCAGGGGTGCATCCGGACTGGTGGGACATCAAGCGCAGTGAGGCAAATGGTCATGAGGTAAAACGTTGTGAACATGTAAGACACACAAACAGCAATGACACAGCCAACCTTAGAATTGAAGTCCCCGATAATTAAGGAAGCGTGGCTGGACTTTGCCACACTGTTCGATGCATCCGATGTGTTCACGAACCTGTGAGCTTGTTGAATCTGTTGCACCGTATCCCAAAACCTCCACGGAGGAGTTGAACCAGTGTGGATGCCATAAGAGGTGCCCAAGAGGTGTCCCAGAGGCAAAACAAAGCTGTTTGCATGATTTGTTTGGTTTCTTCTATCGATGTCGATGTCATGAACATGTGAGCTTGTTGAATCTGTTGCACCGTATCCCGGGGGAGTTAAGCCAAAGTGGATGCCATAAGAGATGCCCGAGAGGTGTCCCAGAGGCGTCCGAGGGGGGAGTTGAACCCACGGGGGGGGGCCCCCTACATATGAAGTTTTCACGTGATGCGGCGATCCCGAGGATTCCAGCCCCTCACTTGCTAAAGCAAGGACAACTCCAGCTAGCTGGTGCTAGCTTTCGTGATATGATTACTACACAATTGATATGACTTATCAACTTATTGTTTGCTTGATCACCAAGTTTTGACTGATCCGTGTTTTTTTGGGAGTAAAGCCATGACTGGTCATCTAAGATCTCTTAGGTCAATCGGTGCTCATCGTCCCTTTCGTTGCCCGCCCTCTTGAAGGTCAGGCTGCTCATTCCCTGCTTGGTAACCTACAAGTCATCATAAGCCATAAGCCAACGGCAGGGAGCCCACATGCGACAAATGTCGCTAGATCTTGGGTTGTCCACCCCAGTAACAGCCGATTTGTGGCCAAGGGACCCGGGACCCTCCATGAGGGACCTTGATGCTTTCGGGGATCGCCGACACGGCAAAAGGGGCGCCTTGGGAAGTATCAGCCGAGTCAGCAGAGTCCTGGCAGCTCACCTCCACCTAGACTCTAGACAGACCGCACAGTAGAACACCACACAAGCTTCAAAGTGAACCAGGAAAAGAACACGGCATCTTTTCACCTGGTGGTATAGTATAGAGTATAGAACCAGGCCTACCCTAGTCATACTACTACCCCCAAAACGGACCAAACTACTTGGGAGCTTGGAAAAATCTGCCTGCCATGCACCTCTAGCACATCCGTCTGCGCCTTGCCGCTCTGATTTCCAGCCTACCGGGTGTTCAAAACGGTCGCAGATCGGCCTTTGCCCTCGGAAGTTGACGAATGAGCAGCGTTGGATCCCAGATTTTGTGTTTTCCAAGCAAGTATGCACCCAGACGCGACCCTGGGCCCTCATATGGAGGGGTCTGGGGTCTCAAATCCCTAGGTTTTGAGGGACCAAGGGCTGTTTGGAGCGCGTGGGCAGCTCAAGACTCAACCTTTTTTGGGGGGTGCCAATCTTTCGTCCGACCCCACAGGAGCTCCACCAACGCGACAGTCGGAAAGGCGTCGTTTCTGCCGAGAAAGGGACACGGGGCTGCCGCGCCAAGTATAGGGCTGAAAGGATGCGAAGGAAACTACTTACAGACTGTCCAAAATGGCCTTCGGCATCCATCGATATGCCATCCGGTCCCACGAAACCAAGTCCCACGAAGTCGCACGTTCGTTGGGATCATCAACCCAAAGACTGGCGGATTCTCCCCGCGTTCGTGGCGAAAGGAAGGCCCAAAACCGATGCTTCGCATGTTTCGAAGGTTTGGGCGTGATCCACAGCCATACACCCCGGGCAGATGAACCTAACATGGAACCTGTAAATGGATCTTTGGATAACCAGCTTCCTCCACAAAACCAGTAGGTTTTCGGGTTTCCATGTGGATCTCTGCATGTCTCGTCCAATCCTTAGCGAGAGCGCCTGCTCAGCCTCAGGCTTGGTCTCACTCTTCTCACTCTCCGGCTTGCTCTCGCTCTCCGGCTTGCTTGGCTCCTCGACAGGGCCACTCTGTCCAAATTCCACTAGACTCCTCCAAGTCGTCTGAACCACCACCAGACTCGCGGGTCGCGGCTCGCGGCTCGCGGCTCCGCAGCCTCCGTGGTTTCAGTAGAGGCCGGCTTGGAGCGAACACTGGACGGTGCCTCTGTCACCTCATCCTTGGGCGGTGCTCGGTCCGTCGGTGCCCAAACGACCCGACCGACACGACGACACCGGACATCGAAGCGGTGTTTTTCTTTCGGAAGCCCATCTGCCTCAAAGGGCTTTTTGCATGAAGGGCTGCCCTCATCAGCTGTTATTCTAATATTGTTATCATATTGTACATCGAACTGGGCAAATGTCCCGCACTTCTGCGCTGCTACTTTGGGCGAAAAAGGTGTGTTTTTTTGGTCCCGTTCCGCCCACCCAACCTGCCACCCAACCTGCCACCCAAGCTGCCGCTCGATTCTCTGGGAGCTCACGACACGCATGTTCCGAAGCCCCACTTTCAGACTCCTCGAGTCGGCACCGGCCACCGGCGGTCTCGTCTCGTCGTCGCGGTCTCGCCGAGGCGCAGCACGGTTCCGCGGTTCCGTGGTTCCGAGGACGTCCTTTGAGGGCGTCCTCAAAGCAAACGGCACGTTCCGTGTATGATAAAGCTCACGTGAAGCGATGAGTGCAAAAGTGGGGAACCTGTATGATACTAGATGTATCGATATATTCACATATTATATGTTCACATATATGTTCACCAGCTGAGCAGCTTTTAGACATGCAACATGTTGCGCTTCTTTCGACACCCACGTCTAGGCCATGGAAGTCCACGTCTGGGCAAGTGGATGTCTCAAAATCAGGAATTCACAATCTCACAAGAAAAAACCTCAGAGTATCAGCTCAACTATCACTCGAACCTCAACTATCACATACCTAGCACTTCCTTACGGGATGCCCTGACTTCCAGGGTATACCACTTTAGTCGTTCCACCACCGCGGACCCTTCGGAGCCACCGACCCCGACCTTCGACGCGGTCTCGGCGCGTGAATCGTGCTCGGCGCTCCTGAGATCAGTGCGGTGGGAGCCGGAACCCACATGCGGTGTGCGTACTTTCTCGGTGTGACCGCAAGGCCTGATCCATGCAACCACTCCCGTTCCGCAAAATTGGATCACTTCCACCCTGACCAAACGCCCACAAATGGCCAGTGTTCGGTGATGCGACCGGTCGACATGTTCCGACCGACACCGCACGGTTCCGACCCATTTGGGTTCGGAAGCGACCATGTCTACCCAACGATCGGGTTCAAACACACACACCCATTTGAGTGTGTATTTGAATGGAGAGACCCCAACCAATGAGTTTTGGTCTATTTCTTGTCTTCCAACGGGTCTTTGGGAGGTCTCCCTATTTAAATACACACCCAATTGTTCCAAACCAAACATCTCTGCTCCATCCAATTTGGGACTTTATCTCTGGGTCGATGGTACAAACCGAACGAAAGGAGACCTGGTTGGTTCACGACCACAAAAGTCTCCTCTTCCCAATCTAGACCGTTGGTCAGGCCATCCGGAGCTGCTGTTCCAGAGAAAACGACCAATTAACGTAGTTGCAGCTGCTGGATGCCGTTGGTTGCCCGAACACCGTAGAAATGCACTTGTAGTACTTGGATCAAAGATAAACTCAGCAGATCTTGGAAATCATACATGGTCATAGATCAATGTATACGATCATCCTGATTCACCAAAGATACGAGGAAATTATTCCACAAACACGACCGCGAAAAAGATCATCTAACAATCTACTAGGTACCTTAGGTACCTAGCACTTCCAATGGGTGCCCAATGGAGACCTGTAAGTAAGGTAGGGTAGTCTATTGGACACCCAGACAGGATGATCCTGGTAGGTAGTAGGAAGGCTCTTTTTACTTCAGGGCTCGAACATGAATCTGAGTTCCGGCTCCTGTATGGCCGGTCCCTCAATTGACCGGAAACCACCAGGCGCTGTGGCTGGGACTGGATGTCCATTGTGCATCTGCCAAATAAGGTCTGCCAGTCTGCCAACGATCAGAACTAACGACCTCTGACAACGAACACCGACCTCTGCCAGCGACTTCGTGACCTCTTTGGAGTCTCATGAGGTGACGAACTCTTGCGTCCGTCCCAATCAAGGTCGACGAACGGAAGAACCTTTTGGGTGTCTGACCAAGACACAAGACACATGTACAAGCGGTTTTTGTTCGGTGTACAAGGGTACCAAACGAGAGACCGCCAAAGACCTGCCTTAAGATGGTTGAAATGCACTCTTCCCCCGATGATAGGGGGGGCATGATTGGACTGGCGCTCGTTTACGCCTGCCGGTTTGGGGCTTGTCATTCTCAAACTTCGATGGGCCATCGATGCCTGAACCTAATGTTCGCAAAGATGTCAAAAGCACCAGCAATTGCTCTTGAAGAAGACTTAAAGGTTCAACCTAAAATCCTGCGAAACATCCTGAGTCCAGATGGCATCTCACCAATTGATGTCCCGGTCCAATGACAAACCACCTTCGCTGCCAAGACACTCGCGCCTCTCTTGTCGCTCGCGCTCTTCTCGCTGCTCCCGCTCTTGTCGTTCCTCTCGTGCCGCCTTGTGAGCTGCCTTGGTGCGGTTTTTCCCAAACCTGCGATGGTGCTGAAGCAACCGTGAAACGCTTCAGGCATCTTGAGGCGGACAAAAGCGCAGAAACTCGAACATGCTTCTGCTTGGTTCCCAGCACGGCGAGCTTGCTTGGTGGGCACTTTCTGCCAGCCATCGTCTTCGATGGTGGCCTTAGGCGATAGATTACTAAAAGACCAGAGGAAACATGAGGAAACCACATTCTTCTCACCATAGCCTCAGACCATTCTTGAGCTTGGTCAGAAACCATCCCAAATCCAACAAACATGCCACCTCTCGGCCAACTCATGACTGATAAGCCAACTCAACTCATCCCATGACTCAAGAGTTCATGGCTCGACACCTCGCTGCATCTTTTGCATGTCAATCGATGCTTCGTCTCCCACCTCACTGGTGGCCGCCTCATTCACCTCCTCCTCCTCCTCCACAGTCTCCTCCGCCGGTCCAAGCGGTGGCGGAAGAGTCCAAGGTCCGCTGTTGCGGTGAAGGTCGGAGTCGAACAAAAGGTAGGGGTCGAAGCTTGTAGACATTAGACCCTAGGATTCCAACAACGAGTGATGTAATGGTTGTTACCAAAAAAACATTGTATTTTACCAACGATTTTACGCTACAACACCAGGTAAATTCTTTTTGTGGTCTTTGAAGGCAAGAGTATAGACATTATAGACTATCCCATAGGTACCCCAGGTGATGGGTCCTAGTTCAGGTCACAAAAAAACCTCTCTTGGTAGGTGCCTGGGGTTTCCCCCGTCCCAACCAGAAACAAGTGGATGGAAACATGATGGAACTCCCCAGTCCTGACCATTTGCCAGGATTCTCAAGTGGCCACCGCCGGAACAACCAAAACTGTTTCCGGTTGGGTGTCCGGTCTCATCAAGTCAGACATGATACGTCTGTTTCCGGTTGGGTGCCCGTCCCTATCTTAGGAGTGGGGACCCCTGCAGCCTGTGGGTCTGGGGTGCTCACAGCTGGTCCGTGTGCGGAAGGTTGCGCTACATGCCAAGGCATTTGGTTCTAAGGTCTTCCCATATGCTTTTCGAAATGAGGATGCGGTTTTCCCTGAAGGGATACTACAGTAGTGTTCATAGAATTCAAGATCAAAGGTTGTGCTGCCTGGTGCGTACCTGATTCCTCGGTTTCTTGCTATTCCTCGGCTTCTGGCTTGTACCTTTGCGTTGCCAACTGCACAATGGAATAGGACTAACCCACTGTCCTCATTTCGGGCAAGCACACCCAAAAAGAACTTCGGAATGTCATCACCCATCAACCGCTTGTCCACCAACCTCCAGCCCCTCAGGCGCTTCACCGTGGCACGGCCTGCACCTGCGGACGGCGGCGCGGCGCAGCTCCATCGGCCGCGCGCGGCACCTCACGCAGCGGCTCGGCCTACGGTCGGAGCACCACGAGGGGAGTGGTTGGGGGGGTGCAGAGATACAAAGACTGAGGACTAGAAGATTGAACATCCTCTGGTTGAAGTCTGATAGAGACTTATATAAGCTATGACACTCATGGGCAATAAGTTCCCTGCCTTCCTACTCTTTTGAGACCCACCCTTGGAGCCGTTGGAGGAGGAATCAGGTTCCATCCATCTCGGGTATGTGATTCAATAGCCAGGGTAGGAACGTCTGAGAAAACGGCAGAAACGGCCAAGAAATCAGGCAGAAGCAGGAAGATCTGTGTTTTCTAGGCGTTCAGTTCCTTCGATTTACTTAAGGAACCATCAGAAAATACAAAACCACGAAGTTCCGGGATCGTCCGATCGGTTCCGAAGAGTCCCCGCGGATCCGATCGTCGATCCGATCTTCGATCCGCTTGGTTCCTCGAGCCCTACTTCCGGACTCTGTAATGGTGTATAGAAGTTGTATAGGGTCCAGGTCCTGAAAAGTTTGGTGGAGTTTTGCTTTTGGATTTTTTGGATTTCGAGTCCGCAGGAGCTGGATGCATCTCAAGGATATATAACTTCTACTTAGAGAGCTGCTTGATAGGAATTATTGGTGTGCCAGGGTCAAATAAGGTTTGAGCGAACGTTTTTGTTTTAAAATCTATTACGCTTGAAGGCTTAATAATTCCTATTTATAACGCTTGAGGGTTTAGGGTTTAGGGTTTAGGGCGTCTCGCCGCGTGGCAGCTGGTGATCAAATGCCAAGATGGCACTACCCCCTTTTCTTTTAAATTCAGGGGGTGGTGGCATCTGAGCGGTTGCCGGTTTCTCGTCGTCGGTCGTTTTTTACCCCACAAGATGTGTGGTGGTAGCTGGTATATAATCCCACCCGCCGCCAGGAGTGGCAGGCTACCGCCCAACTTTCCACCTTTTAGGGTTTTGGGCTCCGCCCTAAATTCCTCACCCACTCCTGTGTCTGACATGCTTTCTCCAATGCGAACTCGAGCGCGCGCGTCCGCACGCGAACGTACGTGTGGATGCCGCTCTTCTTTTTTTGTGTCTCTCTGCAAGCAAGGTACTGATTGACGCTCAAAGAGGTGGGCGCACGTTCGGAGCCACGCGTCCACCATGCTCTCCACTTCGTGCTCAAGCTCGAGCACGTAGGCAAGCAAGGCATCCAGGTCGCGGAGCACCAAGCGGAGATCGCGGCGAAAAGAAATCAGGACCTGAGGCACCAGGCGGCACCCCCTGCAGGCGCAGCTCAATGAAGCGGACCATGGTCACCGCCGCCTCCACGTCGCCGCGGATGGCTCAACCAGGGCCGCGCAAGCGGCCACGTAACGAAATTCGGCCGCCGCGTCCATGCGCAGCGCAGATGGATAGAGACAGGGGTAAACATGTGCCAAGCATAGAGCACGAGCATGTTATACGTCATTCCCATCATTGCACAATGGTAGGAACATGCTTGGAAGAGTCGCCGACCAGTAACTTTTGCGCAAGGGTTAGTTCTTTTTTCGCCGCCTCTACTGCGAGTTGAGCTCGGCGCAAATTGGGCCGGAGCACATCGTGAGACGGGCGCAGCGCTAGGCGTGGTCGTCGTCCTGCAGCATCGGCTCATGGAACACAAGCGCGCAGCCCACGTTGCCCAAGCAGAGGTAGGTCACGCAGAAGTTCGTTCGGCGCCCTTCGGCCGGCCACCCCTCGACGCGCGGTCGAACGGGCGCCCGCGTGTCTGGCGCCCACAGTTGGGCGCGCAGCGTCTCTGCCAGCCACGCCAGCGCCACCAGCCAGCCATCCGGGCCGACGCGCGCGGCGTTGCACTGCGAGGGCCACCGCGCAGGATCCAGTCACTATGCAGGTGATTTCGGTTCGCTGCTTCTTCGTACTTCTCTTGGGCCTCTTCCCTTCGACCTTGCGTCGCCGTGTTGCACTTCGTTTCCGTCCCGCCGCTTTCCTTCTGCTTCAGTGTTGGTTGTTTATTTCATCCTGTCGCTGTTCCTGTGCGTCTTCACCTCTTCGCTTGGTGGCTGTGCCTCTCTGTGTGGGATATCCAGCCACCTTGTTCGGTCGTTCAAGTCTACTCCGAATTCTTTTCCTTTCGATTGGTTCCTGCTTTGTTTTCCCAGGTGTTCTTCCGTTTTAGAATTTCGCCTTCCCACTGCGAACCGAGTCACCGAGCATAACTAGTGTCGACACCTAGTAAGGATGGGTGGGTAACAACGTAAAATGGATGGATTTGTCCAACCCTTTTCAGGCATGTGGGTACATTAACCCCCACAAAGGTCGTTTCGTTTTCGCATCGTAATCTAGAGGTCGGCCGCGGCCTTCGGCGGCATTAGTGTGGGCTGTTTCTGGGTCATGATGCCGCATAGGCGTACACAGGCATGTGCACTACATACATGCATACATGACCACAGGCATGACATCTCAGTGACATCTAATGAGGCCTAGGACACGCTCATATATATATATATATATATACATACATGCATTCATACACACTTGCACGCGCGCGTGGCCTGCACGGAGCGCAGGGGGGGGGTCGATCCGCGGACACTTCGATTCCGAGCCCGCAGCACGGACCAAAAGAAGATCACCGGACGGTACCCTGCGACATTATAGAGCCTTATTCGACATGGTTGCGTTGCATCTTGTTTGGCCTCACCGGTGGGGGTCAAACGAGAAACGCGAAAGGGGTCAAACGAGTTACGCTATCTATCTCGCTTGCCCTAGGGTCAAACGAGATGCAAAATTACGTCTTGTGTTTCCTTGCGGTTCGGTTTCTATTGCTTGCGCGCTATTTCGTTTCCATTTGCGCCCGGTGTTATAGGAAGACCTATTCCACCAACCCCCGGCCCGTGGGCGCGCTCGCTCGGGACCCTTTGAGTGTCCGAAACGCCGCGGACACCGGAGGAAATCTCGCGAAAGCGACCGGTTTCGGCTCTATATAAGTAAGGGCAGGCCCTGGTGGGAGGGGGCGGAGGATTTATTGCGCGGGGCGCCGGTGTTCTTTTTGACACCCTCGTATCGTAGTGGTCCCACCAAGGATTGTCTGGAGAGCACCGGCGTTCTGATGAACGTATTGTAAGGTCCCCATTCTAAGAATTAGGTGGGGCAACCTTCGGCGGCGTTAGTGTGGGCAGGGCCTGGGTCGGAAAGTGATGTGACATGCGCACAGACGTGCTCACATTCACGCATGCGTGCATACATGCATACACACAGCATCCATCTACGACTCACCTGCGCGCAACGAGTCTGTGCGACGAGGACCCCTTAAGCAAGGATTCTGTGCTACAAGGGCCTTTAAGCGAGAAGTATGGACCACTGTCGAGGGCTTGACCCTCCAGTTTTAGGGATTGATCTTCATAGATCATTTCAAGGTTACCTTGTATAAAAGTGTCGGATTGGCACAGCGATAGCTGTCCTGAGGCAAAGCTAAGCCTTGAGGCTCTATTAGACCACTCTCCATAGGCACACCCACTGTTCTACCTAGAGACGGTGTGCATGGCTGCCGGGTATCTTCAGTGCATGGCCACCCAGGAATGGGTGGGAACGGCCTAAACAGGCCTGGGTGGGAATTTCGGGTGGTTCCTTGGGCACTCAAGGCTTTGATCTGGCTAGCCGATGAAACGGACCCGACCTCTGAAACGCCACAACGGAGCCACGGAGCCCGGGAGCCCGGTTGGACTCAAAGGGGCACATGGTATGTGCGAACAGATGAGACATGGTGAGATGGCTTGTATACCCTGGAAGTCAAGCCGACTATTCAAGAAATGGTCTGACTGGATGACCCGAGTCTAGGAAAGTCCTTTACTTGGGTGGTGCCCAAAATCGTCGAACTGGACTTCTAGACGAGTATATGATGTACATTGTACATGTGAGATATATTTCGCATGATTTCGCGAGTTGTATAGAAACAGCCGCTAAGCTACGGTTCCTTTTGGGCCGCGAGCTACGAGGTCAAGTCACGACATCCTAAGTATGTACAAAGTGTACATATTACATGGAGTGAAAATACACCCCCCTCAGCTAAGGTAGCTTTGCTACCGAAGCTGGACGCGGAAAGTGCACGAGGGCTGGTGCAGGGCACGACAGTGATGTCGGCTCGTTGCAGCATGGCATGTGTGGATGCTAGCAATCCACTGCCAAACGTGGCCCTGTACGTGCATTTTAATTATTCACTCCCCGCCGCCAAAAGAAAGTTGAAAGTATGGACTTGGGAGGAAAAACCGCATACATATTGACAATGGATGTCATGCAGTGAATTACGCTCGCTCAAGCAAAAAGCGTTGAGACTTGGCTCAACTAACGCCGATGCCACCAGCTCTGACTCGAGCTCCAGTCCTGTGAGCGGCGATCCCACTGCCACTGCTCACCCCACTCGCCCCAGTTCCATGAGCTCCATCCCTACGAGGACAAGGCTGATCCGGATGCACGTGGACTCACCGGTGAAGGTGGCGGAGCTCCCTTGGCTTTTGAAGCTGGAGTTCCATCACCTCCGGTGGAGGACTTGCGCTTGCCCTTGCCTTGCTGCTGGCGCTGCTCCTGAGTCTGCTTGTTGACCACGTCACGCCTGCAGCGGAGAGGTTGTCATGGCATAGTTGGCGAAGCTCCTCCAATGCGCTGTCTTGCTGGACATGATGTACGCCGTCCCAGGCCAAAAGGCCGCTGTAGGATGAGTTGATGTACTCGGCATACTCGCGCAAGGAGAGAATGTTTGCGCGGTAGATCACGCACCATTGCTCTGGAATGTAATCCATTGCCTGTGGAAAGCGATCGGGCGCTACGTCGATGTAGGCCAGCCGTGCCAAAGAATGATCCTCATCATATCCCAGGCCTAGGCTGACTTGCGCTTTGTTGCGCGGCGGGTTTGCCAAGTGGACATGGCAAAGCCAGTCCTGGCGCTGCGCTGCCCGATAGTCATAGCCCATTTGCAGCGTTCGTTCCATGAACTGAATGTCATGCTCGAAGCGGTCCTCGATGCTCTGGAAGCCGCACTTGTCTG